TTTCTCATTTCCTACCATCAAATTTGGAAAGTGAAAGTTCAGACGGAAAAAAAGCTCGTCGTAGTGACTGCCTCATAATTACGTCTGCAAATTAGAGATTTCCAGACGTGCTGGAGAAGATTACTTACTTCAGACAAACCAAGAAGCAATTCTGAGGACGAGTCAGTTTTAAAAAACTTTCTTTGCGCCCACAACTCACAAATTTGCAGTGCTCATTTATGGCATTCAATGTAATGTTAATAGTAGAAACTGTAGGGAATTCCCAGTCTGTCTATAACTGTCATGTTTACTACAGTTGAACAAACCATTGATGGAGGTGAAAAAAAAGAGTAGGAATTAACAGCCGTTAAACATCGCATCGTCTCTTGATTATGTCAACGTCAAAGCTTCTTATCAACATACAGACGTTTAACAATCCGGAATGAAATCAAAATAGAAAGCCGAACGTCTAACGCAGATGCGAAAGAGAAACTCAAAAGCAACTTCTCATTACGGGGCATAATCAGGTTCTACTGACGCATCGGGCGGGTAGCTGCATTTAAAGGGAAGCGAATTTAGTGCAAAAAATAAGCTCTTCAACTCACATTATTGGAAACTGCGGAAGGTTTTTCTAATTTTACTAATAAAAATAGTGAACCAAATGAGCGGAATTCTGGTAGCATCGACATAGAAGTCTAAGTTGGAGCAGAGCATCAGTTAAGAATATATTTGAGCTGTATCTAACAACTTCAATGACTAAAAGTAAAGTTTAAACCACTGTGAAAATATTTGGATAGTTGCCAAGTCGTCATACCTTTTTCCTGAATCCATGCAATCACAGCTCGTTGGTTTGATTGAATTATTAATCATCTTGTCCCCAATACTTGTTTACTTGATGTAGTTGTAAAGGTCTGATTATCTCAGAACTTTTAAAACCTTCTGTGATAGCTACCCTTTCTAGTTGTAATTTGATGAAGGTACATTAGAAGTGAGATTGGTGATGTGTACTGAGATGGTGATTATTCCTCATTTTATTTTTTTACGGTAGAACTACTCATTTCTCCAGATTCTCCTTAGACGTTTTTGCCGTAAGAATTTCTGTACTAATTTGTTTTGAGGCTTAGGTGATGTCGGTTGAAAACATGAATTTTACCAGTTAATGTTCTGTTTATCACCTTATTATGTGATCGCGAATATCTATACCTTCCTTTCTGATTTCTTATTAAAATTCTTTCTACTTTTGTGGAAGAGTTTTTTTCTAGTAGTTTTCCTGCAGTAAGTCAGAATGACTTTTAATAACAAGATTGGGAAATTTACCGGTACTGTAACATTGCAGCACGACCTGAAGGTAGGTCAGTAAATCCATTTCACGATGGCTACGGTTGTGGAAATGACAATTGAAAAGATCGACGAGGTGAAGTCACGGCTCGGCCGGTTAGTAGGAAATATTTAATCAAAGCACTGAGTTTGGTCGTCACTTGAATTTTCTGGTTTATAAATGTATGGTTTGGTTTTAGAACGTTGGGAACTCCAATGAGGTTGCGTGACTTGATAAGACAGGTTCGTGCAGCACGTACTATGGCGGAGGAACGGGCAGTAGTTGATCGAGAAAGTGCCAATATAAGAGAAACTTTCAGGGATGACGAGAGTCCGTGGAAATGTAGAAATATTGCTAAACTCTTATACATACACATGCTTGGGTACCCAGCTCATTTTGGTCAAGTAAGTCCTATATTATGTGGATAGTTTTTTTCGCAACACTATTTTCTTCCTCGTAATTTTGGCTAATAATTGTTGCTTTTTTTTTTGGTGACATGGAGTTCAATTTTTTTTCAGTTACTATAATAATAATAATAGTAATTATTATTATTATTATTGTTATTATTATTATTATTTATTACTATTATTATTATTATTACTATCATTATTGTTTATTTTTATTGTTATGATTATTTCAGATGGAATGCATGAAATTGGTAGCGCAACCGCGTTTCACTGATAAGAGGATCGGGTATCTCGGTGCGATGCTTTTACTGGATGAACGTTCTGAGGTTCACTTGCTTGTTACCAACTCTTTAAAGAAGTTAGTTTTTCGGTTCTCTGTCAACTTTTTTTAATACGGTACTAAATTTATTGTTTCTTTTCGCTGTTGTGTAGTTTATGCCGTATTATTTTTCAGTGATTTAAATGCATCCTCTCAATTTGTTACTGGTCTTGCATTGTGTACATTTGGATCAATTTGCTCATCGGAAATGTGTCGAGATTTAGCCGGAGAAATTGAAAGACTTGTCAAGTCGAGCAATACTTATATACGAAAAAAGGTTGTTAAATCTTATTTTTATGTTAAGAAATTTATTTTTTATGTCTGTTTGATTAGATGCTGCCTTGCAACAACTTTCTTAGGTACCAGAAAGCCTTAGGCTGCTTATACTGAAAGTATCACTGTTTACTGGACGCCACTTTTCATTTTTAACTTGCTTTTTTCCTTTACATTTTTAGTGCTTTTTTTTGAATTTCATTACTTCTTCCTACCCTTTATTACAGTTGGTTTTTTAGGCTGCTTTATGCGCATTCAGAATTGTAAGGAAAGTTCCAGAGTTAATGGAGATGTTTATTTCATGTACGAAGGCTCTTATAAACGAAAAAAATCATGGTATTTTTTATTACATTCCTCAACTTGTATGTTATTAAAAAATAAGTTTTTCAAAATTACTTTGCAATATGCAGGTTTTTTTTTTTTTTTTTGATGAATAAAATAATGGTAAAAATGACATTCCAGTACATGATTGTTTTAAATGTTGAGCAGATATTTAAAAATTTTTTGTAGCATAATCGCAATGCATTTTAAAGTCTTCAATTTTATATCTCTACTTTTTATTTTTTTGATTAAAGCTACATTCTAACGCCAATGTTGAGACAAATTTTTCAGGTGTTTTAATGGGAGGAATAACACTTGTAACAGAGATGTGCGAAAAAAGTCCAGACGTACTAAACCACTTCAAGAAGGTGTTTGCTTTTAAAAAAATTCTCTAAATCTATTATTTAAAGTCTCTCTGTCTTTTTTTTAGTTGGTGCCGAATCTTGTACGTATACTTAAGAATCTTCTTATGAGTGGTTATTCTCCAGAACATGATGTTACCGGAATTAGTGACCCATTTTTACAGGTTTATTTTTATGCTTTATTTTTTTTTTTTTTTTAAATTAAAGACATACTCCCCTTTAACGTCGGTTACGGTTTTAAACAGGTTTTTTAATATATGAGAGCTTTGTTGTAGAAATGACATTTTTTAGATTAAAATCTTAAAGCTTCTTAGAATTCTTGGTCGTGATGATGCTAAAACTAGCGAAGAAATGAATGATATATTGGCACAGGTGAACAGTTTTTATTTTCACCTTACAAAGTGTTATTTTTTATAGTATTTTTTTTTTTTAATTTGGCTTGTTGGCTATTTCTCTCCTACTTTTATGTGTCGCAGGCCTAATTGTTTTGAGGTAGCAACTAATACAGAAACTTCAAAAAATGTCGGGAACGCTATACTCTACGAAACTGTGTTGACCATTATGGAAATCAGAAGTGAAAGCGGTCTTCGTGTACTTGCGGTTAATATCCTTGGCAGATTTCTTCTGAATCCTGATAAAGTGAGTCTTGTAGCTTTTTTCTGCTTGTACGAGATAAATACTTATCTTTCAGAATATTCGATACGTTGCTCTCAACACACTTTTGAAAACTGTAGTTGTGGATTACAATGCCGTACAGCGACACAGAACTACCGTCGTCGACTGCCTTAAAGATCCAGATGTATCAATCAGGAAGTGAGAACGTCAAGGAATTTGTTTTTTTCATTCTGCTTTAAGTATTTCGAGCTTGTTTTCTTTTGCCTCAGTAAGGTAACTTTAGACGCGCAATGGAGCTTTGCTTTGCTCTTATAAATCAAACGAATATCACGAATATGATCAAAGAAATTCTGATATTTCTTGAAACAGCTGACCCTGAATTTAAAGCTGAATGTGCTTCAAAAATGTATGTAGCCACTGAAAAATATTCACCTAATTTTATGTGGCATTTGGATAC